CATCCCAAGGGTTTTTTTTATAACTTTTTTTTTTACATTCAGCAAGCCATTTTGTTTCCTCACATGAAGCCACCGTGTGCATGGGGGGAGGGGGAGAAATATTAAATAGAACAATTTCAGATTCAATAAATATAAAAATGAATGATGAAATTACTTGTTGTACCTTGTTTTTTTTTTTGTTTTAAAATACAAACAAATCCAGTGACAGATCACAGCTTGGGACAACACAAATATCAATCTGAACATTTATAATAAAACAAACAAACACAAAGAGAGAAAAAACAAAGTTTGCACGCATTTGTCTGGAGGCGCAGCGATTAATCGACGAATAATCGGTTATCGAAATATTTTGAGAATCGATTAATCGTTCCTAGACCTTTTTTTTATGATCCAAATCCTCAATATTTTCAGCCACTGAACTGTAAATATTCACACATTTCTGTAGTCCTCCATGAAAGCAGAATGCTAACATTTGTGTTGAATCAATAAATCGATATTTTTGCAAACATCTGTTTTGAATTTGGAAATCACCGCTCAACATGTTGGCCTATTTTTTTGACATGTTGCGAACCAAACCAGGAAGTGAACCGTTATTTACCCTTTCATGCACCAATAATGATAACCTGTAACCTGATAAACTGATATGCTATCCACTGTAGTAACCACTGTCCCTGAAAGGGTTAATTTGCACTTTCGATTTGAAATCATGTCGCGTTTTGGAATAACAAGGTGAGGATTGAAATCAGAAAATCTGATTCATCAACAAAACAATTGACAAATTAATCAATTATTGAGATCATCGTTAGTTGCAACCCTACATTTATCATCAACACATATTGAGTTAAAAAAATAAAATAAAATATGTGCTTATTGCCACAAACACTATGAACCTGGTTTGGGTCTTTGCAAAGAAAGAACGCACCAGAGAGAAGTTAGTTCTGAGGTCGCAATTTGAAGCCGAGCTGATGCTTGTTGTGCTGGTGGATGACACCTGGGAAGCTTTTGTTTGTGTGCTCTTCGAGTGTGTGTGTGTATATGTGTGTCTGTGGGTGTGTGTCTTCAGTCGTCGCAGAGGGGGGGGCCCCTGTGATGTGGCACTCCCGGGACGAGGACGGGAAAGTGTGGTCATCCTCTTTCCTGGTGAAAGTGTGCTGGATCAAGAAAGACTTCTGAAGATGTCTTGTGCTACTGTCTTTTCCTTTGTAAAAAGTCCACAGGAAGAATCTTGTCGCTGAAACTCAAATTCCGGTGAATTCAAAACATTTTTGGGGGGGGGGGGGGGTTAATAGCTCCTTAAGGCAGATTGGAAACTCCAATATCAAGCCAGGTGATTCTGTGTCTCTTTTTAAAAGCTTTCCACGAAGCTTCCAGGAAACAGGCCAGTCTGTCCCGTCCTTTGCAGGGTGCCTTTGTACCAGCCGTCGTCTCGCTTTTTGTGGACGAACACCACGTCTCCCTCGCGAAGCTCGATTTCCGCCTCACTCTGGGGTGGGTAAGGAACAACCACACGGTACCTGGCCAGCACATGAAGAAGATGAGACTCGGGTCAGTAACTGCATTTTCAACTGCCGTGGCTTGATCCATACATAGCCTGTGTCGGGTTGCGAGGTGTGGATGCAAAAAACACACATTTTAAAATGCACTGATTCACAATCACATTTAAAAAAATTCAAAACGATTTTCCGATTTGGTGTGATGCTTCTAATTGTAAGCCATTGTACCATGATGCGCAGTTTGAATATTAACACTGTGATTAAATATAGGGGGGAAAAATCTGCACGGTCTTCGCTTAAGAGTTGAATTGGGTCTGTGACCAAGCTTGAAACTCAAAGCATTTTTCAAATCATATTTCGCCATTGAAATGAATGAAATGCCAATTTAACCCTTTCGTGCATCCTGCAACCTGATAACATGATAAACTGTCCACTGTCGAAACTGCTGTCCCTGAAAGGGTGAAATGCATTCCTTGGCTGCAAGGGGCAAGTATAATCCAGACAAAGAGACACGCACGAAGAAGAGTTTGACAAATACTTTGTCAGTGGGCTGCGGTAATGGTCATTTTAGATCGTTTTTTGCTGATGATAAAGAATACATGCCAGTGATTATTATTAAAATATCTGTCTACATGTGTTTCTTCATCCGTTGTGCTTCGCGACTATTGGCCAAACTGCTGCTTGTTAGAAAGTGAGTTGCGTTTGCTGCCAACATCCGGCGCTTGTAAGTCAAAGCAATATACGTCATACAAGTGATGGCTCAAATCTTTAAAAACTCTAAGTTGGGCCACTTGTAAGTCAAGGCACCACCGGACTTGTAATCTATAATAACGGCATTAAAATGTATTGTATGTCAAAGTTAAATAAAAAATGTGGGCAAATTTGATCTGTTAAAGGTTGAATTCAAAAGTATAGAAAGTTCTGACGTATTGTATAGTGACTATACAATACGTCAGAACATTATTTTGGCTTTGCCCCATTTCCTTTGTACGTGTCCGTAAGTGCACCCACCTCTCCCTGGACAGTGGCTTGGGTTCAGGCCGGAGCACCATTAGAACACTGCTAGCTCGCGTTGGCGGGGGCGACATGGGAAAGTTTGTATCCAAGGAGCCCGATTTCCTGTGCAGAGGTTCCAGCCCCACAGCCCCCGCCATGTCGATCTCGACAGGACACGAGCCGGCTCGCCCCTGAGTGACCATGGGACACGAGCCGGAGCGGGCGTGGTGGTGGTGGGGGTGGTGAGGATGGTGGGCGAGGTTGGTCGGTAGCACGCTTTGGCCGGCCGAGGAGGGATCGTGGGTGGGTGGGGAGGTGGTAGGTGAGCGTGGTTTCTTCTTGGCCGCCGCCCCTGACAGGAGCTTCAACAAACCTCCGGCTTTTCTCTCCTTCTGATGGGGGGGAGGCAAGAAGACATGATGACCAGCCTTTTTTTTTCTTAACATAGTATAAGGGTCATTATATTGTATAATTTGATCAATTATTGACAGAGCAAAATATTAGTGGCCCTCTGAAATACAGCTTTTGTATCACGGCAAAGACAAAAGTGCATGACGGTTGAGACATAAACAGCTTCATAAAAATCCGGTGAAGTGCACAACTGTCATGTTTTGCCATTCAAATTCTACGGCTACAGGCACATATATATATAATATATAATTGATCCTAATACTCATTCAATCAAGATAGGCTTGTATTTATCGAAACGTAATAACGGGAAATCAATGCAATTGTGCTTTCACAAATTCAGACATAGTTCTGTCATAGAGCTGTCTCTGGTGTCTGAGACTAACGGATAAAACAATAAAAAAGAAATTCTTAAGATCTTATTGACTTAGTTTTCATGGAAAAGGCACATTAAGCAACTATATATATATATATATATATATATATACACACACACACACACACACACACACACACACATATACACACACACACACACACACACGCATTTTTTTCCCTTTTAGAAACAATCATTACAGTTTGAATCATAACAACTGCCAATAATTCAAATATTCTCATCAATAAAATTAATCGATTAAAAAAATTAAACTCAGTGGGGTATGTACAGTATTTTCCGTCATTGATGAAATTATATGATAAGGGCCCATACATACATCTACATAAGAACAGTAACAAAACTTTAAGTCACCTGTTTTTTCATGGACTTGTGTCAAAAAAGCTTTTCTGTGCCAGTTTGTGTGCTGCTGTTCAACTAACCACAAGGGGGCAGTATAGACCTACTTAACTCGAGTGTCAAAGCCGCTAGCCTCAAGTAGCACGATTTATTATTATTATTTTTTTATATATATACAGAATGTAACTTTACACTTTAAGTTCAGTCACACAGTGGGAGAGTTTGGTTAATCCATTGATAAGGTCACATTACAAATAGTGGTCGAAGAAAACCGCATGCTCCCGAGAAATGTTGCCATCGATGCCAGCGCCCGCCCGCCCTTCAACCTAATTATTGGAGCGTTTGCTCACCCACGCTCAACGCTCTCTAAGTGCTTTTACAGTAAATTAGCTCAAAGATGAATACAGAGGCTGGCAGATCAAAGGGGCTTGCGGTAACTGCTCGTTGTCATGAATGTTTCTTCAACTCTGGAGGACGAGTAAAAAAACACTTAAAACACGTAAACCATTTGGTGGCCGAGTCATTTTCGTCGCCGGCCACTTTGTAGTTATGGTTAGCCTCAAGGGCTGTTATGACTGTGAAGCCATACAAATATCTTCGCCTCGCCCTGTTATTATGAAGACACGACAAATTGATGGATAAGTCGTTTTGAAAAACAGACAGCAATGAAAATTGTTTGCTCCACGTGTGGCCTGAGGTGGGGTTGGGTGGGGGGGAAGCTGGAAAAAAGTGGAGCCAATGCACAATTTTTGTACAATTTTGAAGGAAACATTTTTTCTTTAGCATGCCACGAGTGGTCAGGATTGGGAGCAAAACGCTCTCGTACTCGTGCTCACTGCATTTAATAAAATGAAATAGATTTCTCAGTGGCTCACTAATGCTCGTTCTGACAAGCATCCTCTGTTCTGGCTTTCTGATGTTCAACATGTGCGTTTTGGTTCGTGTGTGTTTATAGCCGTCTGCCAGACATTGTTTCCCGTAAATTCAGTCCGACTAGAACAAACAGACGGTGCTGCGTCGTCACAAGATCAGAGCAACAAAAAAAAATAGTGTGAAATCTGATGATGAAGTACAGCATGGATAATAAGATAAAAATGATTTGGCAGTGACAACCTAATTGTTCATGAATAAAGTTATTGTGATATTTTGTGTGGATGGCAGGGAGGCAGGAGGAGCAGCATGAACTGAGCAAAACACATCCACAAAAAAAAAAATGAAACTGAAATACACAAAAATAAACTGAAGTACACACACAAAGTCATGAAAACCACAAAAACCAAAGAAACAAAAACCTAGGACAGAAACAAAATGTGACATGGGCACAGAGACAGACACAATGATCTGACAAGGATTGACAGAACCCAGGGAACTAAATACAAGCAAAGTGACGAGACAACGAGAAACACCTGGACAAGACACAAAGGGTTGAGGGAGCTGATTGGTTAAACACAAGGGACCCGGATAACGAGAACAGGTGCGACAAAAAGAGCATATGAGGTAACAAAACCAAATGTAATCAAAACAAAAACATAACAGAAGAGTCACACTGTGAGGAAAAAAAAAAACGCTCTTCATAACAGCTACATATTATCGACGTTTCATGATTTACTTCGGTGTTGTCACTATGTGACGTTACCATTCAGTGATTTGAGTGCAATTTGGGTACCCGTGCTTGTTTCATTTTGATCCTTCAGCGTAAACGCTGCCTTAAATCTGATATGTGCGACTTGAAAGGTACATAAAAAAATCAGAGACACGTATTAAATCTGAATCAGGCACTTGGATTCCAGCCATAGAGGTTAGTGCCTGCATAGCAGTCCAAGTGATACATACAGACGGCGCTGTATATTTTATTGCCAATCTATTGGGACACCTGACAATTCCCCTTTATAGGAAGTGCAACTCCTCCAAACACACAAGAGACAGCCAACCAAATTGGACAGATGCATAAATAGAATACAAATCAAATCTGTCGCTGTGGCAGGAGAAGAGGATTCATTAATATCCGGGCCTCATAAAAAAAAAACAAAAACAAAAAAAAAAACAAGAGCCATCTTTGAGTGGGGATGATGTAAACAAGCCTGCTGTTCCACCATCACAGAGCTGTTTGTCAGCTAGCCATGTAGTTAGATTAGCTGTCCAACATAGCGGAGCCAGCAGCGAAAACAAATGGATCTTAGACAGATGCAGAGCTTTTCTCTGCCATCGCTCATTGCGAGCGTGTCCCGATTTGACATCCAGACTTTCCGCGCGGCAGACGAGGCGGCAGACGAGGCGGCGTTGGAGACAGAGTTCAATATGAGTGCCATAGGGTGCGGGAGACTTCGTAAAGCAGGTACAACGGGGCCATGCATAGGAACACACACTGGGGTTTCGCTTCATTTCCAACAATTCCAACGCGTTGTAGCTGTTAAAGCAGAAATTATTCAATAATGAGCTGAGAAACGTGTGATGGCTTTTGCTGGAGGGCTACAGCACCGGCCAATTGAGAAGCTATTACGTTTTCGCAACGCTCGCCTTAACAAGTCGCTCCCTTTTTTTCGGTTGAAGCCGGCTGAGGTTGTTTTTGAGTTTACGGATGTCAAGAAATCCATTTAAAAATGAATCCCGGAAGCTCATGTGTGAATCAATTGATAAAAGACGAAAATAAAAAAGGTAATTTCTGTTGTAGTTATATAGTAAGATTTGGTTCGTCTTATAAATGCAAGCTGCGGTTTCAGTTCGTTTTTAGTTGTATTTTTTAAAATAAACTTTTATTTTATTTCATTCATGTTTTTCAATTTTTGTTGTAAGTATTTTGTTAATTTTCGTGAACAATAATAACACTTGATGTGTTGAGTTTGCATGTTCTCCCCGTGGCTGCGTGGGTTTTCTCCGGGTACTCCGATTTCCTCCCACGTTCCAAAAACATGCATGGCAGGCTGATTGAACACTCTAAATTGTCCCTAGGTGTGAGTGTGAGCGCGGATGGTTGTTCGTCTCTGTGTGCCCTGCGATTGGCTGGCAACCGGTTCAGGGTGTCCCCCGCTTACTACCCGAAGACAGCTGGGATAGGCTCCAGCATGCCCCGTGACCCTTGGGATGATGAAGCGGATCAGAAAATGGATGGCTGGATCATAACACAAAATGAGCTGAAAGTCATAACAACTTTTTTTGCATTGGTGAGCAGTTATTTTGCAAGTGAGCCCTCCTCAAAACGGATTCCACAAAGTGTTCATAGCCATTTCATTCATAAGAAGGTCCGTCCCGAAACCTTGATCTCAAGTCAAGTCAAGTACAACTTTATTGTCAAATCTCCATGCTGAACAAAGGATACCTCTTGAAAATCTTTTTGCATTTTGAAGCAAATCACTACTTTTAAAAACACAAGCCTTAGCTTGATGAGCACACTTACCTTTTCTGTTTTGGGGGCCAGCGCGCACTGCGCAGGTGCATGAGAGGGGCCCGGTGAGGGCGGCTGCAGGGGGATGGCCGGTTCCCCGTTGAGTAGCACCGCTGACACGTTGGGAGGCGTGAGGCAGGACAAAGGAGACGATAGGGGCAGGTGCGGCCGTGAGGCGGGGGACGACAGGGGCGAGGGCCCCAAACTGGGTCCCGGAGACGTCATGGAGAGCGGGCGACCCGATTGGCTCGCGCAACGTGAAGGGGAGGAGCTCTGAGAACGCAGGGAAGATATCGCCACCGTGGGTCGCTCTGGGCTCCCGGCGGACGAACTATGGACTAAAATTGAAAAAAAATATATTTTCTGCATGAATATAACTGCAAGGACCTTTTCACTGACAGCAGGTAGCCATTAGTCCTCGTTAATTCCGGAAGGGAACATTTATCTCTGTCGTTCACCGCTTTATAGACACTGTACTGTTAATCAGAAATAACACGCACCATAAAACCGGGGTGCCAAAGTTATTAGTGCCATAGTCTCACAGCAAGAATGGCAGTACATTAAGATGGTTGATATTTTTCAGCGCTTGAATAAATGCAGGGCGTTCGACTTGAAAGAAAGTAAGTAGTCACATACCCCACTCACAAAAAAAGGTTTGGCGATATTTGTCTTTTGAGTGAAATCTCACGATGAGCCTGAAATGCACTTTACAGGTGTTAATTTGACCTTTTTGAAATGTTTGAGTTTAGAGCACGTGTCCAACTGTTCAAGGGTGCTTAAGAGCCTGAAGTGCAAAATTCCCAATCGATGAATCAATGAAATATATCTCAATAGTGCCTCGCCAGTGCAAAGCCTCAAACAGGATATTAGCGCGGCGCACAAATTAGAAGTCACAGGAGTAGACGAGCTGGAACAAACACCCGTTGTGCGTTTTGCTATTCAGCCTCTTGTTTTGAAACACCGAATAGTTGGGACTTAAAGAGAAGGACAAATTGAACTGAGCTGTGAAGGATCGAGTGCATTTTCGGCTTCTCCTGATATTTCCCTCCAACAGCTAATCGAGCCAACCTTTTGGGAGGAGTGAATCATGGGAGGGGGGGACCACAACAACAGGCAATGACTTCCCAAGCTGTAAGCAGCTGTCTTAAAACTGTCACAAGCCAGATAAAAAAACCAACAAAAAAACCCGACAACAACACGGATTCCACCTGCTGTATAACACTGCAGTTCTCAAAAGTGGCTTGCCGCTTTGTAGCATGGTCCAGATGTGTGAGTGTGTATGGGAATGACACAGCCAGAGACCGAGAGGGGAAAAAGCAAGCGGCAAGAGGTTCTGTCATTACGCCTACATAAGAACACAAAAACAAAGTGATGTCATTCAGCAGTGTGTTTCTTAAGCGCGGCCCAGTCTTGGCGTCAAGCAGTGCTGGGCCGTGTGTTACACTCCTACTACACTTGCTCCACATCATCCTCGCATGCCACGCAGACCTGCCAAGGTTCATTTTACTTGCTGCCAACTCTGCCCTGCAGCGCCAACATTGCGGCAATGTTTCTATTTTCAAGCAGTTTTTGGGTTACCTTTGTTTAGCTCTGCTACCTTTTCATATTACCGTATTTTCCGCACTATAAGGTGCCAATACAATGATGATAAGAAAATAAGTTTTTGAAAAAAATGTACAATGACTTTTGGCCAACTCGGTTGCAAGAAAAAAATGGAACCCTTTGTGTTTATTTAATTACCGTATTTTCCGCACTATAAGGCACACATAAAAGCATTCAATTTTTTCAAGAGACGACAGTGCGCCTTATAATCCGATGCACCTTATATATGGATCAATATTCTGATTTCTTGGACATAGTATTTTAAATGTTCTGTAAAGCGCTTTGTTACAGCTCTATATAAAGGTGTACTTTCATGTATTGTATTTCCTTTAGCATAGCTCCATCTAGTGGATGCATAATGCAACCTCATCCACTACTGTAGCTTCTTTTCTATGTGCCTTATCATGCGGGGGGCCTAATATCTGAAAACAGTTTTAAAATAGGGCATTCGTTGAAGGTGCGCCTTATACTCCGAAGCGCCTTATAGTGCGGGAAATACGGTATGTGGCATGTGGCCCAAGTGTATTTTCTCTGTTGATGTATGGATTTAAAAATGAGGGACAGATCACGAATTAATATCACCCATTCAACCAAGTTTGTATTTTCCCCTCACATTTTCATTTCGCCACACTGCTTTTCCAAGCTTAGCGCATGAAGAGGCCTCGGGTCCAGCTTGCTGTTTAACACTGGCTGAACTCCCACAAACAAGCGTGGCACAAGTTCAAGACTGACCTGTGACAAGATTATACCCGCCACTGAATATGTCCCTGATTGCCTGCGGTCGCTCGGGATTTGGAAGCAGGAAGCCAAGGCTTTTTCTCTTCTCATTATTAATAAGGCTCCAATGCGCCTCCAGTTTTGAAATATAATTTCTATGTAAATACCGAAAAAGTAAATTGACACAAACGAGCAACACATTTGTGGAGCCGGCATCAAGCGGAAGACTATGGCGCACTGAACACTTTGATGCTTTCCATGTTATTCCTGGAGCGGTGCGTTACTGCGAAACAATACAACCTTGAAGCAGACGGTGGATTTTATTTGAACGAGCATTTTTAGCTGCATATTTTCAGCTTCAGAATGCATCTACGGTGAAAAAGTAGACCTTGATTCAAGAGAGCGACACGGTTTCGCTCAAAGAGCACTGAATTGTTTCAAATTTCAGCTCCAAAGATTTTCATTAAATGTCAAGTCTGCGGAACGGCGACATTGATCGCCTCAATGGGTGGAATGATATAAAAATAAAGTTTTGGGGAAAAATATGCATCGAAAGTAGCATAAAAATCTGGTGTTGTGGATAATTTGCGCAAGATTTCAGGATCTCGATATCATAATAGCCCGAGTTATTTAAAAAAAAAAATTGTAACTCCCCCTCCAAAAAAAAAAAAAAAATCAGCAAAACAAAAAAAAAACAAAAACAAAAACCAGGATTTTGTAGTAAAGAATCCGGTATTTTTTTTTAACCCTTTCATGCAGCCTGTAACCTGATAAGACGATAAGCTGCCCACTGTAGTAACCGCTGTCCCCGAAAGGGTTAAAATTCATATTTCTATTCATACATGAGGTCAAAAAGGACATGGTCAGTTATGCAACTTGACAAACGATATCTGTCAAGACAGCCATGTAATACTTTTTAGCGATCCTGAATACAAATTAAAGTCCTACTTCAATCATTTTTAATGAGAATGTTTGACTGTGCCATAGATGTCAAATTCTATTACGATATGTCCTGCTGGAAAATGGGTCCAAACCAAAGCAGAAGTCGATAAGTCACCCCGGAATTGACTACCTTTCACTTTATATCTTCCACGGGAAGGTTGTTTTTGTCCCACAACTGAAAATTAAACCCAGAAAAAACCCCCCAAACAAACAAACAAACAAGCTAGGAATACAAATGACTCCTCACAGCTTTGCAAGACATTCAGCATTCATTTGAGCATCTGTCAAACTATTTTCTAGCCAATCTCGACACGGGGCAGCAAAGGTGACGACTAATGTGTTTGTAATCAAGCGTGTATTCATCGCTTTGAAGTGTGTGCTGATTACACAGGTCTCGGCGAGCAGACGGGCCAGTGCTGCAGAAACACCTCGAGACGCACAGCGGGGTGCAGATTGCAGAGATTGTATTATGCCGTGACAGTGATAGTCGTTTACGTTGCTTTAATGACAGCGCAGACAATTGCCCCCTGCCGCTAAAAACCTTTCATTCACGCGGCGGCCACTCGTTTCACTTCGGAACGTGACTGCGGTGCCTCTGAAAGTTGCCGATGTTTTGGTCCCGTTTGAAAGCGTACGCGCAAAGATTTTCAAAGGAGTATCAATCGCAAATGCGTCGGTTTTGTGCTCACCCAGCTGCATGGAGGTGCGCGTCTGGTTGACTGAATGCTGACTGGAGCGCAGGCAGTTCTTCAGCTGCGCGGCTGCGGTCTGCGGCGACGAAGCGGGACTGACGCAGTTGACCAGCGGCGTGGAGGGACGGGACGAAGAGGGCCCCGGGGACCCTGGAGAAGAGGGATCCGAGATTTTACCGCTGAGCTGACTACAACCACCACCTCCTCCATTTCCTGGACTGGACAAACACGAGCCTCGTGTCGCGCCCACTCCAAAAGTAGCCCTTTAAAACAGAAAGAGGAGAGTTACTTGTTATTGGATGGTGAAGGCTTGACACAAGATTGGGAGCTTTACTCGAATCCCAGCTGGGTGTCTCAATTTCTCTTTTGAAGAGACGTTTGTAGTTTGTCGACTTGGCGTCTGCGCTGAGTTATTGCACAGCAAAATGTAACCTTTACTTAGGCGGCTCGCTAGCATTCTTGCTATCATTGTTGTTTTGGTTTTGATGCCTTTTATAGAAGAGCATTTTCACAATAGTGGCAATGTTTTCAAAAAAAAAAAAAAACCCTTCACTTGGTTTCCCCATCTCAAATTGCCAGTGTTGTGTCAAAACCGCACCATTACCATCCCATTTTCAGCTAAAAACAGCATTACACTGACAATGCTGATCACATTTATGACGTGGCAAGTGGCTTGAGATTCTGTCTGCCGAATAATATGAACGGCAACGCGGTGAACTGAACTGAGCCGATTGCAACATCCACTCTCTTATTGTTGCCCATTGACTTCCAGTTATATACCAAAGTTATGGGCTCATGCGAGCTTGATCTTGTCAACGGAAAAAAAAAACATGAGTTTTAAAGCATCTATAAAGGGTACGGTTGAAGAAAGGATATTTTGGCCAGAGCTCACGCAGCTTTATCAGGGATCTTTCCCTTTTGAGTCAACAGCCTAGAGATGGAGAGGGGGAAAAGAATATTATGTCATACGCCGGCAGTAGCGGCAGCAACCGTCGTCGCGTTGACGCCTGTGCAAGTGGGACAACTCCCTCAAAAATATTCCACGCCGGGGTGACATGAAGCTGATATTGTAAAGTTTATGTATGAACCCGCAAGGTGCGACGGGCAGTGCTGGTATTACACAATCTTTCAGCAAAACAGGCTTGACAGTGACTTTGAAGGGTAACATGAGGAAATGGTTTCAGGTCGATAAACACATTTGTTGTGATTGTTGCGGTCATGGTCAAGGAACGGATTGGATAAAGCCGTTTACAAAAGCGTGCGGCGCATATGTAATATCTTGACCAAAAATGGGAGCGACTTCACATACGATGAGAAAAACATCTGCAAGTCTTCTTAACGGATTATAAAGTATGCGGTGGACTCAAGTTCGCAAACACAGCACACCGGACACGGAACGCTGACAATTGGCGAGTCCCCCCGACCAAAGAACGTCTGTCACAGTACCAAGACTGACCTGCGAGAGGCAGTATGGCACCACAGGACTGAAGGAAAATATGAAGAAGAAACGTAGTTCCTGTTTTTTTTTAATTAAATTAAATTATATATGTATTTAAATTTACACAAATTTAAATAACAGTCAAGTCCTAAAAATATCTTCCTAAAACGGTGGTAAACACTCATGGGGGTTTTTAGGAAAGAGGATGAAAAAAAAATACAGGTATTTGAAAATATTGGGGAAAAAAAAGAAACCTTGGATTATTAGCAATGGCGGCACAGAATATCCCTGGAGTGAACGAGATTGTGATTGGCGATGTTGTTTTATTTTGCGGAGCCGATCAATAACATTATTGATCAATCGGCAAATTACGACTTTTACAAACTATCACCAATTCTTACACATAAGGCAAACCGTTACGATCCAGCTGATCAGATCTGTGTAAAAATCTATTCCTAATGTTCATTATCGATCACACCCAAAGGTTTTCAATGAAAGCACAAAATGTGACAGAATTGGAACAGCAAAAAAACCAAAAAAAACAAAACAAATGCTATGGAACAACCTTATCAACCATTTTGGCACTGAATTGAAAGTGGTGAAAAAAATGTCCTCGGACTAACAGGGAAGCACAGAAGAAACAAACAATAAATCCAAACTAGCGAGTCTAACACAAAACCAACAATCGAAACAAAATTATGACAAATATTGAAAGACTCAGTATTTCAGATTGAAGGGGAGTTTGCTTTAATCTTTCGAAAAATACAGCCAGCCGATTACACGTGCCCAGGTGCGTGAGTGTGTGTCAGCCTCTGCTTTTCATAATGAGCATCCATGCAGCTTCGTAAGTATAGAGGAGGGAAGCTCAAGAAAGAGCGACTGTTCTTTTTGTGCAAACATAACAAATAGTCTCATTTAATTCTCCCCTCTACCCCGCTAATCATTGCAACAGACAAAGCACACACCGGAGAATGTTAAGCGCTCTTGCATTCTTTTTTTTTTTTCCTTTTCATTCCATCCGTCTTCAGTCTCACCCCCTCTCATTTCTTTGACTCCTTTCCACTTGTTTGTTTGTCCGCCCCGACCCGACACGTCGTACGGTTTCATCATCTTCCTCCCTCCTTTCATGCCTCATTTTCCTTCCTGCCGTTTTCCCCGAGTCTTCATTATCTTTCTCTCGCTTGTTTGTCTTTCTGTTATTCCGACGCCGCTCGGCTTTTGGCCCCCCCCCCGCCCCCCCCTCCTCGCTCGCAGTCTTTCGCCGCATCATGGGGGCAGAATGCAGATGAGCCGAGCAGCCGCTTGAAATAAGAACCTCCTCAAAGGAATGACGGCGGCCGTAAAAATGAACCAATATACAACTACGACCCCGACGCACTTACCTTTTTAATCTCGTGCGGTTTCAACGGCGTCGGGTAGTTGGGTTTGAATGCTAACAGGGGCCGTAATAACAATTTTACGATAATGATGATGATGCCGATGGTAATGATCTACTCTCGCTCTGCGGTAGAAGCGGAAAGATAGAGACAGGATCGGGGATGATCACAAATCGAACGCGATCCGTTCTAGGAAGTTGATCAACCTCCACTTTGGGAAACTATTTGAATGGATGAAAAGAAATGATTATCCTAAACATGAACTTATGTTATTCTGACTTCAAGATGGCGCCACAAGAGTGGCTGCCTTTACAGCAGCTCCTATGCTTTTTGGTTCTTCTCCTTTCATCCTTTCATAACTTTGCTGCTGTAAATTGTGAATTTCTCCATTGTGAGGTTTTCTTATTCTTCCTAATACATTTAATATAAGGCAAAAATAGCCGTATATAAAAAGTTAAGCCCCGCCCCTAAGAAAATGTTCATTCAAATCTTCAGTTTCTTCTTACCTCAGCGTGACAGAAAACTGTCTTTTCAATTGCGTGGATTCCTGCCTATCTATTTATACAACCGAGTACCGTATATATCGGAAGGAACGATCTTCAAAGTTGTCCCGATTGTTAAATATAAGCGTATATCCGCTTAAGCGCAGCAGCCGTGTTGTTTACGGTGTTAGCTGTGCTAATATTTGCTAGCCAACGCTCGCTGCATCGTTTTGGAAAAAGCTGCCCGTGTTTGCGTTTGATGAAGTGCCTGCTGCATGCACCGCATACATGGATCTGACAAGTGTAATCAGCGACTTGGCGACCAAGTGCCAACTCAACATGTGAAATTACAATCAGGGGCTTTGATTATTGTCTTTAAGGGAGCCGATGTTTTGCTAGGGCACAGTTTTCTCCACGAGGCCATTGTTTCAAACTTTTTCAACAGTGTTGAAAAGTCCAATTCTCTTATCTGTTTCCTCTTCGATACACTGCAGATTGTTTTTCGGGGGACAACAGTGACCGTTTCAACTGTGACCGACTCAATACAACAAGGCAATTAAATGTGAGAATGGCTATGACTGACCTGGACACGGGGGTGACGTAGTTCCCCGGGAAGACGCCAGACGCGGCCGTTCTCAGTGAGGTGCCTTTGAACCATCCGTCCTGACACTTCTCTGTCACCCGGTACATCTCCCCCTTTCTAAGTTCAAGCTCGTCAGCTTTCTGGGGCTTGTAGGCGTAAAGCGCAAGGTAGCTGAGAAATAAAAGTCGTAGAAAATAATGTGGAAAGAGGAAGCATTGACTCAATGGCAACTACAACAACATCAATGCGAGTTGTTCCCAATACGCACCATTAAGACAGATGTGACATAAAGCCCAAACATTATAAGTGAACGCTTCAAACGAGAGACGCGTGCGATTTTTCTTATGTAATCCAAAAGGCTTGCGGAGAAAAGCATGACTGGAGTATAATTGCTTTACCCAACGGTGCAAACTTGCAAAGCACAGTAACATCAATGAATGCTCAAGTATAATCAAAACAAAATGATGAATAATCAGGAAAAAAAAAAACACAGCTGTGGTTATAAAACATGACGCGATTGCAGCAAATGATTGACATTAGTTAAATAACCAAAATTAAATATTTAGAAATAAATAGTTCGGAACCCTTTCAGGGACAGCGGTGACGACAGTGGGCGGCTTTTCATGTTATCAGGTTACAGGGTGCCTGAAAGGGTTAAAGATGACATTCAAATGTATTGTACTTGAAAGTGAAAGACAACTGAACTGGACTAGTATTTTATTTTATTCGGAATTTTATTCAGTGATTCTTTTTCCTGCCATTAGAGGGCGCCTGTGCACCACAAGTCGCACCAGTAACACACTTTGAGAACCTGACAATAAAGGCCTGCGGTATGAAATTTAATGGTTTGTATTCATTTTCCAAACTAATAACTAATTTCTTCTTGTAATCATCTACTCTGTAAAACCTGCTGTAAAAATGAAAATAAAAAAAAGCAAAAAAGGCTAAAAAAGAGCACAGAGTGGCCGTTCGTTTAACCCGCCAAAGAATACAGAATGTCGGCAATGGTGTCAAACTCTTCCATACCAGTAATCCGCATTTACGCTTGCACCATTCTGTTATTGTACGTAAGTCGCGTAGAAGTGTGCTCATGCATGAAATATTTTGAATTGTATCTACTTAACATCCCAATGAGCTTCTGCTGTTGTTGTTGTTGTTGTTGTTGTTAATGGTGATGGCAAACGATGAGACTGGAGTAAACCAGCTCTATATGCTGCCTGTAGGTTGCCATGGTAACAGATGTGAGGGGGGTTGGTGTCGGATTCTGTCTTCCCATGGCAACAGGAATAGTTGCCAGGTCAAGATTGAAACGTCCACCTTGTTCAGCAGTACCAATCCACTCGGGACGTGTGTCTTTGCGCGTCTGAGATTTGCGTGCCCCGGAAATGCGGATTAAAACGCAGGGTGATGTCTTGCTTCACATTTGGGGAAAAGGTTAAGCTACAGTTAAGGGAAGTCTGCTGAAGTGATGAGAACTTGATATTATAAAAGGTGCCGTTGTTGATATCTCGGAACACTCGCACAAGTTAGGCGAAGAAAAGGGCAGGTCTGATTAAATGAGAAGTTCAAGCACATTTAGCATGTAAAAACGTGCCTTAAATGTAGAGCAAATTTGGGATTTTCGACTGCCGTAGGTCACCGATAGTGGAGTGGTTCACTTATTTGAATTCTGTGCAGTTCCCATTCATTGATGGCATGAATGTGAATGGTTGACTTTGGTGATTTTTTTTATTCTTTTTAATTTCCAACTGTAACAACTCTCAGGATAAAAAGAAAATGGAGTGTTTATGCTCGTGATTCCTCGTCGTAAGCCTTATTTTGAAACGGTGCTTTATACAGCCAAGGTCAAAGTACGTTATTGTATTTTTGTGTCTTTTAAAGTTGTTTTGAAAGGGCGTTCTCAGTGTCATGGTGGAGGAGTAGTTAGTAGTAGAAATAGTGGAACGCGGCCAATATCTCAGGGCACAATGGAGGAAATGCTTTTTAATGCTCGCGAGAAAATGGCAACGAACGTGAACTTTAGGACTCAGACGTTATTCAAGTGTTTGGAGAAATAAAACAGGAGCGATGCAAAATCCAGGTTACAAGAGGGAGGAGCGATTGATGTTGACTCACATGTTGAGAGGCAGCTGCACTTTCGCATGGGCCAACAGCTCAGAGGTTATAGATGCCACTTTTGGGGGCACCAGTACCCCTGCCGAGGAGGGGGAGGGACCTGGGGACGATGCATCCTGAAGGCGTGCAGAAAAAGAAGCAAGCAATTTGAAACTTTGAGGCAAAAAAAAAAAAAAAAAAAGTGTTTGCAGCTTTCCATTTCCAAATGTATCCTGGGTGTTAACCGGAGGAGACAAAAACACGTTTAGTACAAGTATAGAAGCAACCAGAGGCAAAATGTAAGTCACTCTAGGCTGCAGCAATACAACAAAAAAAAAATTAAAAAACCCGAGGCGAATATTTTATTTAAATGGAACTGTCAGCGTTCGTAATTGGGAAATATATCAGTGATGTTAAAAGATGGATTATCTTTCATCTCTTCACATACTGGTGCATATGGAAATTGCGCCTGTGTAGTATGCATTATACTCTCCCAGTCCTCGTGTCACTTGGGCACATAAAACCAGACGATAACAAAATCGGCATAAGATTGAGAATAGTCACCACAATAGTTTTTTTTTAGTCAAAGAGGCCAGTTAAAATCAATAAAATCCAAATATCTTCTGTCAACACTGCAACATCGAGCAAGTATATTTGTGAGCGAACTGAGACAAATTTGTCATTAAGTCCAGTTTTTTTTTTTTTTTACTTATTTTTGTTTTCCAAATTTATGTGTTAGCCAATACAATGATGATAAGAAAAAAAGTTATTGAAAAACATGTACAGTGACTTTTGGCCAACCCCGTTGCAAGAAAAAAATGGAATCCTTTGGATTTATTAGTTACCGTATTTTCCGCACTATAAGGCGCACCTAAAAGCGATCAATTTCTCAAAAGCTGACAGTGCGTCTTATAATCCGATGCGCCTTATATATGGATCAATATTCTGATTTCTCGGACGGAGTGTTTTAAATGTTCTGTAAAGCGCTTTGTGAAAGCTCTATATAAAGGTGTGTTGCCATGTATTGTATTCGCTTTCGCATAGCTCCATCTAGTGGATGCATAGCACAACGGCAGCCACTATTGTAGCTTCTATCTATGCGCCTTATAATGCGGCGTGCACTATAAATGAAAACAATTTTAAAATAGGCCATTCATTGAAGCCTTATACTCCGAAGCGCCTTATAGTGCGGAAAATACGGTACATAAATGGGCCGATGGCTTCGGTACTGGGAGTGAGCAAACCTGGATGCGTGCGGCGGCCCTGGGGTCAGAGGAGCTGATGAGGACTGGGTGGGAGATCTCCATACTGTGTCGGTTGTTGAGTTGGGCCGCTCGCTGGGTAACGGACAGAGCTGAGAACGAATGCCTCTTCTTTGCGTTTTTCTTCCCTTCGCCTCTCCGATGTCCCGAGCCGTTTCCATTGGAAGGAGAGGTGCTGGGGGAGGGGCCGAGAGAGCAGGGACCCAACGGGGACGGCTCCGAGCTCGGACCTGGCACACTGGGCGTTGTCGTCGGCTTGTCGATTTCCATCAGCTGCTTTGCCGTTTCATTTAACTGGAGGTGATGAGAGAAGGAGAAGACATGGTGGCTACGTGGAGGACAAATAACGAACTGAACCGAACTCTTGTGCACTACACGTGGAGCAAAATTCCAGTTCAGTTATAATCCGGGCATATTGTCCTGGGCAGAGATATCAGACTGTTTGGCAGCAGTGGGACCGAAGGGATCTCTCAATTCTTAATCTGTGTTGGTCATTTGAGCTCCGGTACACAATCAGCTCATTCTCACCAGCACGAGTGACAAATCTTCTACAATCCAAGTTCGCTCCATCTCTGTGACCGTTGCTTATCAACAGCGATGTGCTGAAGAAGCCAAAACATTCGACGGCGGCTTCGGGATCGAGTTGAATACAAACGAGCAACATGTCTAGCAGAGCTTGGCGGACAATGTGCTCATCAGCTTCGTGCTGCTTGAGGCAGACGATGTTATTGTCAGGGTCAGGCATCATAAAATAAGTCTCCTCGATTGTTGTCTTCTTTGTCCAAGGCTCACATTGTCTCATTTGAATTTTGCCATGAACTGCCAATCCATGACACGTTTTCTCTCATGTGACCATTCATGGTCACGTGACTCGTGTTGTAGATTTCATCTCCGAAAGCACTTTTCATCTCTCTTCCGTCAGGCCTTTTGGCACACACGCCGCAACTTGATTTAGTTTAAAAAAAAAAAAAAAAAAAAAAAAAACGCCATAGGCTTGTGTTAATGTTGGCCGACAAACAACGAAAAAAACCCCCAAAAACAAAAAATTTTTTTTTTTAATAACTAGGCTGCTCGTGCCAATTTAATCTGCCAATAAATATCACAGCTGGAATGCTCTAAATGCCGACTTGCAATGCATTTTTCATCAACTCGATAAAATATTTCTTTGTTCAGTCTCTCAGTGCGGCCACGCGTGCTGGTTGGGGGGACCCTGCTATACAGTAGAGTATTGATAGCAATTTGCTCACGAACTCCACACTCAAGACATGGGGGAGGACTGGTCTGACTGGAGAGCTAAGCTTTAAGATCAACCTAACTGAATGCTGCCAACTTCCCGGGACGCTTTGACTTCCTACGGCCTCTGACGTGTAAGGGGAAAAGCGCTGACGTCGAGTGGTGAATCCGTGCAAGGCCAGAATTGACAGGGGAACGCCCACATTGTAGGGATGCTCCCAGCAATGTGCGTATCTGCCTCGAAAGTGCAAAGATAAAGGGTAAGTTACACATTCCAACCTTTTGACCCAGCTTCCACAGAACGATTTTTTTTTTTTTTTTTTTTTTTTTTTTTTTTACTGTTTCTTGAACTGTTTCCAATTTGGCTGCTTAAAAACGTGTCGTTACAAAACGTTTATGATGAAATAGCCAACACGGAAAAGAAAACGCAGCAGGCACAACTCTTCTGTTTCAAGTTTTCAAGTACAGAACTTATTGATATTGCTGAGCTAGGCTTTAAAAAGAAAAAAAAAACTTATGTCACATGAGCACCATAAGGAGTCGAAATAGAAAAGGATGCATGTTATCTTCATCTTTTAGTGCCAAAGTGTATGCAGCGATCTGTCGAGTTGCAAATGTGTTTGTCTTGCTCCATTTATATCATGCACGCCTGTTTGGGGGATTTCCAAGTTGTAGGACGCACACGCTCCCCAGGGGTGTGACTGTGTGTGTATGTGTGTGTGTGTATGTGTGTGTGTGTGTCTTGTGCACTGATTTACTCCTTCACTGATTAGCCGCGTCCTCCCCCGCCACCCCGCCTTTGGGAAACACCACCCCGTGGCTAATTTGCTCGCATATTCTTCTTGTTCTTTTATGGTTGCTACTTGTCAAGACCATCTGGGTGTAAAAGTTTGCATCTCAGTGTATGCTGGCAGCTCGTGTCAAGCGCTGCATCTGCTTCCGTGATGAGGCACGTCCGATCGGGGATTTAACCTGATTAGATGGGTGGAATGGCCGCAAGGCCTGGATGGAATTTCGGTAGAGATGGATGGATGAAGGAGATAAGGTCAAAGGTCACTGCAGAGAGGGAGAGGAGTGTGTCCGGGGTGTGACGTCGGCTTTCCTTGTGCGCACTGTTTCTTTTTCTTGTTTTTGTTTATGCACTGCCCTCCTTCTGTCCGGCTCACTCTTCGTTTCGTGACGTCCTCTCGCTCGCCCTTTGCCCTCCGCTGCCACATTTTCTTAAAGTTAAAGCAGCAAAAGACAGATAAGATTTTGCTCAGTGATTCCTTTTGGGCTTATCGAGTGTTTGTTTTGGTCAAACATGCACACACGCGGCACACATCCAAACATCGAAGTACCGCCGACCCACTTCCCTCCCATTTTGGTCATGTAGGGGCACTGGCACTCACTCACTCACATTGACAGATTACTTTCCTAATGGAATTTAATTATTTATCCCTTCCTCATGGCGGTTTAGCCAGGAAAAGACCGACAGCAGCAGGAGGCAGCAGGGGAAGGACAGGACCGGAAGGTGGGAAGGAGGAGGGAGGGAAGGGGGGGGGTGCTCATTTCCTTGTGGCAAAATCTGGACCACCTCACTTTTTTTTTTTTTTTTTTTTTTTTTTTTTTTTTTTTAAAAAAAAAAAAAAAAAAAAAAAAAAAAAAACGCCATAGGCTTGTGTTAATGTTGGCCGACAAACAACGAAAAAAACCCCCAAAAACAAAAAATTTTTTTTTTTAATAACTAGGCTGCTCGTGCCAATTTAATCTGCCAATAAATATCACAGCTGGAATGCTCTAAATGCCGACTTGCAATGCATTTTTCATCAACTCGATAAAATATTTCTTTGTTCAGTCTCTCAGTGCGGCCACGCGTGCTGGTTGGGGGGACCCTGCTATACAGTAGAGTATTGATAGCAATTTGCTCACGAACTCCACACTCAAGACATGGGGGAGGACTGGTCTGACTGGAGAGCTAAGCTTTAAGATCAACCTAACTGAATGCTGCCAACTTCCCGGGACGCTTTGACTTCCTACGGCCTCTGACGTGTAAGGGGAAAAGAGCTGACGTCGAGTGGTGAATCTCTGACTGGAGAGCTAAGCTTTAAGATCAACCTAACTGAATGCTGCCAACTTCCCGGGACGCTTTGACTTCCTACGGCCTCTGACGTGTAAGGGGAAAAGCGCTGACGTCGAGTGGTGAATCCGTGCAAGGCCAGAATTGACAGGGGAACGCCCACATTGTAGGGATGCTCCCAGCAATGTGCGTATCTGCCTCGAAAGTGCAAAGATAAAGGGTAAGTTACACATTCCAACCTTTTGACCCAGCTTCCACAGAACGATTTTTTTTTTTTTTTTTTTTTTTACTGTTTCTTGAACTGTTTCCAATTTGGCTGCTTAAAAACGTGTCGTTACAAAACGTTTATGATGAAATAGCCAACACGGAAAAGAAAACGCAGCAGGCACAACTCTTCTGTTTCAAGTTTTCAAGTACAGAACTTATTGATATTGCTGAGCTAGGCTTTAAAAAAAAAAAAAAAAAAATTCTGGTACACTGCGGCCTGCATTATCATCCTCAAGGATGAACCGCTTGCTTGCACTCACCAATTGGAGAAGGCTGGGCTTACTGAGGGATGGCGATAATGGGGTGAAAAGAGGGTGCACACAGGTGCTGAAGTATAAACATTTTTTTTTGTGGGGGGGCGGTGGGTGTGAAAGCATTTGGAAGCTGTTCAAATTGACAATCGAATTACAAGAAGGTTCACGCGCATTTAAGATGCCCATTTAATTAATGAAGACTTCACCATTAAAATCGGTTCTCGTTCAGCACCCGCGTCGCTTTAGAAGACATTCAATTGACTTGCATTAATTTCCCGGAGACTAACTAAACACAAGCACACGCACTCAAGGGAAGCCATACATAAACTAAAACAGCAAGAGACGACATCAGCTTTCACCCTCTGACAAACTTCAGTTCTCTTGGCTCACCTCAGACTCGACAAACACTCTCAGGATGGAAAAGGGGAGAATTTCAAGAAAGGGGAACTGAATTCGAGAACAACCTATAGAGACTCCAATTCCATCTTAATAAATATGCTAATCAAGCCAAATTATATGCTAATGAGTATGACGGATTGAAGCTGCGATTCTCATGGGATCGACTAGAGGGCACGTACGCTCCCCGGACACAGAAGGTCAACGACACAACACACACCCGCTCTCTCAGGATTTATCAAAACTAACCAAGTCATTTTTACGGATTATATGCAGGCACACACTCGCCTGGCACCGCAGTAGTGCCGGGTCATCACTGCAGTAAAGGCGATAAAGGTGCGTGTGGCGGAGAGGGAGCGGGAGAAAGATATGCCTGATAGAAACAATTCCTTACTTGGCTTAAAAAAAATAAAAATCCAAGGGTAGCTGCTATGCTTTGAGATAACTCTCATTTTCAATTTGACTCAGAAGGTGAATCATAGCAGGAGTCAAACCTATGGGCTGATATCATGCGCTGAGAATAGGCCAACTGCACACACAGGCATGCACATTGTTCCTTTATCCACAAGCACAAAGAGCCTTTCCTTGTACCGTATTTTCCGAACTATAAGGCACACCTAAAAGCATTATATTTTCTCAAAAGCTGGCAGTGCACTTTATAATCCGATGCGCCTTATATATGGATCAATATTCTGATTCCTTGGACGTAGTAATTTCAGTGTTCTGTAAAGTGTCTTTGTTACACCCTCAGCAGTTGTGAAGGCGAGATATAAATAAAGCTGCATTGTATTGTATTTCTTTAGCGTAGCTCCATCTAGTGGATGCATAACACAACCACAGGCATTATTATAGCTTCTATTCTATGCGCCTTATAATGCGGTGCACCTTATATATGAAAACAGTTTTCAAATAGGCCATTTATTGAGGGTGCACCTTATACTCCGAAGCGCCGTATAGTGAGAAAAATACGGTAATTCTCTTGATTCCGCAAAATTGAGACATTAGACCTTTCTATCACAATCTCTGTTTTTGTTTAATTGATTTGGATTAGATTTACTTTTGATTCATGTTTTCCCTGTGTCCATTTTGCAGAAAGTTTGACCACAACAAGAGAAGAAGCATAAAAGAAAAGAATACAATTCGGGCCATAAGTAGGAAAAAAAACAAAAACTTCAAATGGATATTTTCTTTTTCTCGCGTGAAATGCATGTCTCACCCTTCATACATTGCACATTAGTTCTGCCCCAATGATTGGCAGGCAGTTCTATTCTATTATGTTCCGTTATGCTCGGCAGTGACTGAATCCGTCCTGTTCACATCCATCACTGATTATGAGCAGGCTCAAAGCAGCGCAGCAAACGCCAAGAACAGGAAAATGAACCGTTGCTGCCCTCTTACTGCCACCCACAGTTTGTAGTCTACACAGCCAGAAAATGGGAAGGTTAAATCGTTTCAAAGTCCTCACCCCCTGAAGCAACCTTTTACAGCTCCTCATCTTGAGCCCATGCTACCAAACCCTGCACAGAAAATGTAACAAAAAACAACCCAGGAGTGCTTATTGCCTGCCGTGAAAAATACGAACCATTATTTTCTAATATGCCGCCAACATCCTGCAGTCTTTTCGAAACCGCTCCACATTTGCAAACCCCACACCGCACAATACCCTGACTATGGACAACACAATTCCAATCTCCCAAGAAGCAATAAACACCTAATAGTGATATCAATAAGGACATACAAAATGGCAGAAACATATCTTGGTTTCCCGATAGGTTAAATTATTTAGGACGTGATTTGAGAAATGCACCGCACGCCTCCAACCCCCAATTCGCCAGGGACAGACGCTCCAGACTGGTTCTTTTATCGAAGCATCCTTCTTCCAGCCCACTCATAGCACCCTTTTTCTGAGATAACGGTTCTAAATGGTAATCATCTTTACATCTGGACGATATTGACCAGCCTGTCAAATGATTTGTAAATGCATCAGATTATTTTATTTTGTAGACGCAAATACCAGCCGAAGTCCAGCTGGGACCCATTCATTAGGCTTGTTGCCGCTGACTTTAGCCGCACACACAAACACACACGCACGCAACGGCACGCCCGCGCGCCCTCGAAATGTCTTCATGCCCCCTGCTGTTTCAGAATGATGGAGAGGTCTACATTATTGATGGATTTCTATTTAAAAGGAACCCCTTGGATTGATGGATGTCAGACTCTTGAGTACGTGTGGGCCATGCCAGATCTATTTACAGCGTGACCATGTTTTCATAAGGCAAACAAGCCTATCCTGATAAAGGCTCGAGTTGTAAAACATTTCCTGCATTAGGTTTCTTTAAGCATTTTTTGATATGTCCCAATATTCGGTACACCGACAGTCTCATGTGATCCAATATACAAGCGCTACCGTCTATTTGCTGTCGATGAATCCGTAGTTTGGTGACTGAGCTCAGTTAAAGGAATCTTGAGGTCCAGTGAATTTGTATTGTATATTGTATATTGTCTATTGTGCAGTTTAGATTGTTCTGTCTAAGGATTTTTCTGAAAAGAATGGTTTTCACCACGAGATGCAACGATTGCTTCTGGTAAAAGTTTTTGATGCTCGTGCATATATGTGCGAGTGTGTGTGTGTGTTTGGGTGGGCGATGTCTCGAGGTTTACCTCCACGTAGAGAATGGGGAAGATACCAATCTTGTCGCCCAGCATGCCTTCTGCCCAGTTTTCATCCACCCTCCTTATTACAGTCAGGACTTCATCCTGAAGAGAACACACACAAACACACGTGCACGGAAAACAAACACATGACGGCAACAGCTAAATCATTTTATCATCATCATATAATATAATTTATAAACCTTTCAGCAATGGATATTTGAACTCAACTGGTGGTGATACACATGTGAACTGACTGACTGACTAAATATTACTGCGGCTTACCAAGTCACTTTCAAGGTGTCTCTCTATTGATATTATACTGCCCCTTGGTGGCCAAGGCACACACACAACAGAAGTAGCAGCACATCAAATGAATTGAAGCAAACGTGTTGCAAAAACTATGTCATTAATGAGTGATTTTATAATGTGCATTGTTGTAGAGGGGAGACTGGAACGAATTAACAGCGTTTCCATTAATTTCAATGGGGAAATATGATTTGAGATGTGTGTTTTGCTTTACAAGCATGCACATGGAACAAATTCCGTTTGTATCTCAAGGCAGCGCTGCAGACATGTTTTCACAAAAGCATTTGTCAGCATTTCTTGAGAAATTATACGTAATCCTACAGAAATGGCCACGACTAACTCATTTTTAGAGCAAAAGAACAATGCTACTGTCCACAACCATGTCGTTTTTACATCATCCGACCAAGAGCATCGAAAACCACCTCATAGTTGCTGCGTAGAATAAGTACATGCTTGTTTTACAGGGTTGTTCTTTTTTGAGCACCCGCTATAGACCGGAGCCTTGTATAGGTCGTGGTACACTTTGAGTTTGGTTCAAGGCGATATTTTTGGAAACATGAGGGGAACCGCCCGAAGACAAAGCTGTATTTTGGCATACGTATGAAGGAATGCTCTTGGTCTACGATGCCCATAGCAGAGTGCATGAGCTCCTTTGGTTGACTCTGTGCTTTAATGCATCGGACTGACACGTGGAGAAAATACCGATGTCAAGCCAGGGAGGTCGGCACGCATTTGATTAAGACTACAATAGCGTGTCTTGTATTTATTCCCGCTCATCTGGCCACTGTGTACTCCCATATCTCATCAACGGCTCTCTGTTATATCCCATAAAACGCAAAAGGGAACATGATGACTCCTTTCACTTCACACAAACGCACACGCGCTCTCCACACGTGTGTTTTTCTATCATCGCGTGAATAACGGTCTTGGCTGGACCGTTGGGGCGGCAGTGATAATTTAATTCGGCTAAATGACTTTGTATTAGTCATGCTGAGTAATTACCTTTCCCACTGAGAAAACAATCACACACACACACTGTTTTTTGCATGACAACACACATTCTCCGCACGGCGGGGAAGCGCATATACAAGGCAATGTCATCTTCTGTCATCTATCTGTTGATTCACTTAAATTAAAAAAAAAAAAAAACAGCAACAACAACAAAAATACAATGCACTCATCATCAGGATGATATTTTAAGAGTGTTCGGCCATCATACTGTAGAGCATCTGCTGTGGCTTGTGCAGTACAGTGTGATTAGATTTTTCAGAATGGTGCGGCCAGGAGCCTTTTACAAACCAGCCGGTGTAAAAGCAGGAATAAAACGATAAGCTTTGAGTGACGTGAACAAGAAAAGAGTGTAGAAATTACTGTTCACACTAAACCGGGCCTGGGAACACGCTTGTGCTGGAACATGCGCTCTTATTTTGTTCTCATTGTTCCCTCTCAATCTTTTGAGAGGAACGCCGAGAGTATAATTTAGTCAAATCAGGCTGAGATGAACATGTCAGTCATTTTTAAGGGGAGACCTCTCTAGAAAGTGGAAAAAAAAAAACAACCCATGAAAGGTCATGGAATAGCTTCCCAACCGATTTTAATGATAATTTGCTCGTCCGGACTGGATCAAAGCCGAAAAAAAGACTTGGAGGCGATTGCCTCACGCATTTGGCGATGGTTCACTTAACACTCACATTGGCATTTTTAACAATGGAGTAAAACTGGTTGGGATGCACTTGTCAGTTCAGAGCCTCCTTCATATACGCTGCAAAAGAGATGGCGCTTCAGACGATTTCTCGTAGCTTTGAGGTTTCCCTGTTGTCATTTGAACACTCTTGAAATGGTCCCAAACAAATTTGCTGAGGTTCAATTAAGGTGTGCTTTGCTACTCCCTGAGTCGCTCAACGCTGGTCGATCGTGCCATCTTTCAGTTAAACGCTTTCCTAATAAAGAAGAGCATATCATTTATTCTGTCGAAATGTGATGAGTTTCGGAATGTCGATTCGATTGAGATGATTTGTGTCTTTCACTATTCCAAAGGTGTCCCTCGAGTTCCGCGATCAAGCGTTCTTAAAAGGCGAGCTGTTATCTCCATTCCCCGCCCATAAAGTTCATTACCAGCTTCATTTTGATCACGCTGACCTGATATCCAAAAGAGATGAGACATGCCGTATCGCTGAGCATCAAAGTGGCCCGAACAAAGCTCTCTCTAATTCTGGATAAAAGTGTCTCGTGGAAGAAAGAGTCTCGTGTTTCATTAATGTGTACCTCAGAACATAATAGCTACGAGCATGTGACCCGCCGCCAAGATCATTCTCAGGAAGAGATTGCGACAGATGGGAACCCCAGTCGAAACATGGCCTTGATTATTCGGATCTTTTTCTTGAGCGATATTTCATTAGGGTTTCTGCAGGGTCATGTGATCTTAGTACTGTGGTAGTACCTTGACGTATGAGTTTTTTGGGCTTCCGTATTGCCACTCTAAACCAAAGTCAAGATACCACTGCACTTTTTGACCAAAATGACAAAACCTCAATAAAAAACAAAAAACAAACAAAAAAACAAAACATGGTTTTCTTAAATTAAATCTTGCGACCTGTTTGGAGCATACATGGCTAATAATACCATTTCTATTGACCTACACCTGAAAGTTTCCTGACACCAAGAACTTTACAATCTATGAACGGGTGTTTGTGTGTGTGTTACCTTGCTGAATGCGAGGCAGTCTTTATCTTGGTCTTTGTTTTTGACCTCAAAGTCGTACAACGCCTTGCCCTGGGGCGGAGTCTGGCTCAGCGGCCGCAGCAGCTGGATGTAACTGGCGGGCAAGAACCCGTGGCAACCGTTCAACTCCCCGTGGTACCAGTTGTCGTCCACCTTGCGTCGCAGGATGATGATGTCACCCTTGGAGAACTGCAAATCGCCCGGCTCCTTGCCCTCGTAAGAGTAGAGCGCTTTGCCGCAAGGCAGCGCTGGGATATTCTGAAAGTAGATTGGAAGACAAACGCGTTGTCAGCCGTGCAATCGTGAACGCGACAGGTGTTTGAAGCTGGTCGGACGGGCGTCGTAATCGATCGACCGAAGAATTCCGTTGGATGTGTGGAATTGATTGTCGAAGCAATTCATGCAAAGTGGAGTGAACTGTTCAGCTGCAACTCGCAGAAGGTGCTTTTGAAAGAGTGTCATCAGCTTTGTATAGTCTGAGACGGGAATGGTGGGCTGCACAAAGAGCCTGGACCCCCACCCCCCACCCCAAAAAGTATTTATTATTTATTTATTGATCATCAATCTCTGAAAGACATTATATTTTGAGAATCATGTGCTTACAGGAAAGTAAGTAAGTGAAAAAAACATACACTTGAAGAGCTTTGTCCGAAAGGCAAACAGGCCAAATAATAAGACAGAAGAAGAATCTGTAACTTCCCAAAAATAAGACAAACTCAGCAGTCCTACCAAAGGTGTAACATTTTTTTGTTGTTGTTCGTGGACTCGAATGTACAAAACCCTGCATAATATGTCGTGACAGGCTTGCAAATGAGGCAAAGAAAGCATCAAACCTGCTCTGACACATGGGGCCCAAGCAGCTGGCACCAAAATGCACGGGTTGGGAGCTTACAGACAAAAAAATTAAAACTAAAAATAATAGATTAACTCAAGGCAGGACGCCCACTAATTGCAACAACCAAATTCGGCATAATAGTTTATGACATTCCATTATTAAAAATGCCATGTACAAAATTAAGTCAAGTAGGTCTCCATTTATTCAAAAGACCACCATAATTTTTGTTATAAACCAAAATCTGTGTTGAGAATTAGCCAACGTTGTGTCAAGGGCTCTAAAGAAAATGCTCTGAACGTGCTGCTTTCAGCCAGCAGATGCTATTCCAAGCCATTTATCTTGTGACACACATGGGACAGAAGAGCATGAAGTGCATTCCCAAAACCTGTGAGGAGGATGAAAAGGAGTACAGGTACTGTCTTGCATTTTGTGTCAGAGAGTCGAAAGTATTCCAAATAACGCCGAACAAAGCCAGAGGTTCCAATTTCCAGCGAACTGTTGTTTCATTACGCTTTTCCATTTAAGGAGGTGAAAGTGTTCCTTTGTGTGAAGACTGGAACAAATCGCTTTCAACTGAACTTGATAGTGCCGGTTGGTTTCCATTGTTCTGTTTTCATTTGTAACAATGGCAGTTGAAGAATGAAAAAGGAGTGAAAAAAGCAGATTTCTATGCCGCAATACGGGAAAAGAATATGTGACACCTTACCTAGTGGTGTAAGGATTCATACGTTACTTTAATGTTTGATTTATCCTTGTACAATCCAACTTCAACAGCAAGTTGGACTTCCGGACAAAGTATATCGATTTAAAATCATTTAAAAAAGTAATTAATCGATTGATAACTGGGATAAGGCATTGGATTTACCGTGGAAGACTTTATATGGATTAGAGTGAGTGACGTGCCTCGGTGTACTTTGAAGCCTTTCAAGCGAGCTTAGCTTAGTTTGCTAGCCGCTAACAAAGCGACTTGTTTATGATCAACATATCGATAAGCAGTAAGTAGAAAGTTGGGGAATGTGCGCGTCAAAAAAATATTTGTAGCTTTTGAAAGAACGACGCCAGGAGGAACTTTGTGAATGCTACCAATGATTCAAGTGGGCAGCAATGTGAAAAAAACAATAATCGTCACACAGAGAATGGTTATCCTCAGTCATGCAGACCGATTCTCTCCGGATGTCACTTAGAAGCAAACAGCCAGGGGCTCTCCCACCAGACTGACTGTGAGATCCGTGATGATGCAACGTTAGGAAAAAAAAACAAACAAACACACAACTGCGGTGTAAAGGCAGTCGCTATCGCTGCCGTCATCCATTACGGCTGTGCAAATGTACAATATTCATTAAAACATGGAAGAACAAGAAGTGTTGAGCACCTAGAGACTGCAATCAGTGGGGAAAAAAAGATGGCTGGAAATGTTTGGTGATGTCATTCTTCTAAACAGCTGTGCGCGCAGCTTTATATTTAACCGGTATAACATGCCAATACCAATGAAATAAGATGGGCCGAAAGAGCCTGCTTTCCCACACAACTTTTCACATTTGGTGGGGCCCATAGGTTGTCCAGTTTTACCATATTATCACCCCACCCCTGCCCCCCACCAGAGCTCGAAAGCTAGAAAGTAAATCCACTAACCTCTGCGGTGCAGTAATTAGTGTTTGTGGACTTCTGTGTTTGGGCAAAGGGAATGTATGGGCGTGTGTGCGCGTGTGTGTGTGTGTGTGTGTGTGTGTGTGCATGTGGACATAAATGCAAACACATTGACCGCTTCTGAGGCTCCCATCTGTTCTGCCGTGTCCGTGTGAGTGTGTCTTGGTTTACGTTGCACTCTTGCAGATTGACACGTTGGTGGAGTGACAGCCAACCATGCGTCCATGTTTGAGTTGGAGGTTTTCAGCCCCTTTAACAAAAACTGACAAAGCTCGTCGTCACGCATCATCTGATTTCGCTCATGCAAAAATCAAACCCGGCGTATCAAAGCAAACTCTTCAAATTTGACCCAAGGAAGCAGATGGAGGGCGGCCGATGTAAAAAAAAGCCTGACTTTGGCTTGGCCGCCTAACTGATGTGAAGAGTGATCCCAAGGGGGCGGGGGAGGGGGGGCGGTTTGAACAGAAGAGATTGCAAGGATCCTCCGGTCATGATGGTGGTGTCAGCATGCGCTGTGGAGCGCATCTGTGCGTGGAAGTGACTTGCAGAGGTTATCCACCGCGGCCTGGTGCTCTTCAGTGTAAATGTTGGAGGATCAAGACTTTTCATGCTGACGAGAGACAGAGCGAGTCGTTTAGCTCACTGCAATTGTTTTTATACATTTTTAAGTCTTCTGGTACGGTTTAGAAATCCACTGTCGGGACCTCATTCTAAGGTTTGAAATTCCTGCATGAAAGCTTGACTCCAGGCCGTTCATAGGGAGGAGGACCAAAGAAGCTGAAGGAGTCTGCTTTAGTTCAAACATGCCAGCTGAGGAAATATGGAAGAGCTTGGATGTTTTGTGTGGGTTTTATAGAGTGTTTTAAGTTACATTTATCTGCAACCCTGCGCACTTGAGCGGCTATGACACGCAATCATGCACACGGTGACATTTATGAACAGGACTGCAATCTGTGGGGCATGCAGTCACTCTGCGCTCAATAAAATCAATAAATAGCAGCTTTACTCAGCTTGTGTACAGAAGCGGTTTTCATGTTCTGGAACAATAACATGTGGGCCACTCCTGTCATTGTCAGACAAGTGCAACGGTGAAGTTGCAGAGATTTTATTAGCCTTCTAGACTTGATTTGATTGTCAACAAGCTAACAATTTTCTCGTCCTCGTTAGGTTTGCTGACATTGGGCGAGAGGCAGGGGACTCCTTCGATTGGTCCCCAGCCAGTAACAGGTCACCATTCGCGCTTATGAATATGAACAATTCAACCCTTTCACGCATGCGCCCTGTCACCTGATAACCTGAGAACCTGTCCACTGTAGTCAACGCCGTCCCTGAAAAGGGTTAAAGTCTTCACCGAATGAATTTATTTTCTGGGAAGGTCGGCGGAAACTGGACTTTGTGAAATAATTTTCTTTTGCTTTCAATTGGCAAACGATTTTCAACATTTGGCTCTGCTTCCGTACGAAACGTCACCAATCGGTGGACAGCGTATAACACAGCCGAACAATCGCGCAACGATGATTAACACCGACAATCTCATGGTAAGCTTTTGTTCATCCATTTACGACGGGTATGATGAATGGGGTAATCATTTCTTTACAAATGGGAAGTCGAAAGGAGTGGAAAGCGATGGGAGACAATTCGCGCAGCGTGAAAGGGGAAGACGGTGGGCTTTATTGTTTGGTGGGCACGGTGCCACTGAGACCAATAAGAGAACATTTGTTGAGAGGCGGCACTTCACAGCCTCTTGACCCACTGAGAGCATCCACCATTTGTTCCTCTTGTTTATCTGCGAGTGTGCAGCGGCTGACACAAATATGACTCAAACATGAAGACGGGAGACGCGAGCAGCTGTGGTATTGACATGAAGCGTCGGATGCCAGCGGGGTCGTCGTGTATTGGAATATTATGCGGTAGTTGTTTGCGATCAAAGCAAACAGTTACTGGAAACTGGAAAATGAGAGAGGGGATTTAAGAGACCACATGAACTACACTTGTGACCGTATATTTTTCGGACCGGATGTAAAATCATTTAATTTTCTGAAAAATCAACAGTGTGCCTTATATTGCGGCGTGCCTTTATGTTTGGATGTGCGTCTTTCAGGTTCTCGTCTTTAATTCTGTTTCCTTTCCATTCACGTTCTCGCTCTCATTGCGTTTCCAATGTTACGCCGTGGGACAATACCGTTGCGGTCTGCCGGGACCGAGCAAAAAAAAAAAACTCAAAAAGGAGCATGTTTGGATTATGGCGAGCGAGGAAGTTTACGTATCTGGTGAGTGTGTCGACCTGTTTACAGCTGTTGAACTGTCAACAGCATTTCGCAGCCAAAGTTAGAACACAACCACCAGTCACTAGATTGACTAGCGATGTTCCCAATTTTCTTTTCGATTGTCGGTGGAGCCACTCGCCGTCTCCGCTCGAAGCTACCGCCGCATAACTGATTATTGCGCCTAATCATCTGGTACCTTATAGTTGGAAAAATACGGTACTTGGATTTGCCGCAGCAATGGCGATCACGGCCAATTAAGCGGGGATTTTTTTTTTTTTACACAAGTAAATGGGACAGTGTGTTCCCCTCAGCTAATAGGCCGGTCCGTTTTTTTTTTTCTCTGACATTTTTATAACGTAATACAGGGTTTTACTCTGTGCAATCCATAATTCTGCTTGGCTGCCTCAGCAAAGTCACCGCAGTGAGTTTGGAAACACAACCTTAAGCCATGATAAGAAAAGGCCCGGAAATGTGATGTCATGCCAGTTCCAGGCTTCTTTTGTTTCTCT